TATTCAGTAATTGTGATTGATCGAATTAGTAAATCAAGTCAATATTTTAAGTTTAAGTAGAATTTTCCTTTCTTATGCTTAGATTTTGATGAGCTATGTTTGTGCCTATAGGGCTCAACAAAATGCCCTATAATAGAAAAGCTTGGCATTTGAATTTTATTCCCACGTATTTTTCCTCTTTATTCACGTTACCCTTTCCCCCTATTTGCTACTATATAGAAACAAAATGTTGAACTTGGACAATATAATCAAAAGATTTTAAGCAGGCCCATTAAATGTGGCCCGATATAAACCCGCTAAAGGACTATTGGGCCTGGCCCAATAGACAGGCCCCCGCTTTCTGATCGGCTATCCCGGTCCAACCTGTTGACCAATCAGACAACCCATCTACCTAACCTGTTTTTGACTTTTTTTTTTCTTTCAAATAAACATTTCTTGATCCAAAAATATCATTGCGACAAAACAACTCAAAAGTCAGCATCAAAACAATTCATTTTCTTCTAATAATATATTTTACGAGCTTTCTTCTCATACCAATCAAAGATGAAAAACTAATGTCAGAATTCACATAGAGATGATAGACGCTTATCATGAACCTCAATAGCCTCCCATAAAACTGTTCCCGCTTAGTGAACAAAAAACGGGATGCTTGCGAAGACCATTTCTAGTCTATCCGGGTTAATGAAAATCCATCTCGTGAAATGTATAGTTTGCCTATTATTTTTCAATTCTAATTGGACTGTAATTTTGTGAAACATTTAGGTTCCCACACCATTGGACAAGCAAGGTGCACCAACTTCAGAGCTAGAATATACAACGAAACCAACATAGACACTTCATTCGCTCAAATGAGAAAACGTAACTGCCCAAGTGCCACTGGCTCAGGTGACAACAACTTGGCACCTTTGGATCTCCAAACTCCTACTACCTTTGACAACAACTATTACAAGAACCTTGTTAGTCGAAGAGGACTCCTCCATTCTGATCAGCAACTGTTCAACGGTGGATCGACCGATTCGATCGTGACAACATACAACAACAATCCAAGTACCTTCAATTCGGATTTTGTCACTGGAATGATCAAAATGGGTGACATTAAGCCTCTCACAGGATCGAATGGAGAAATAAGGAAGAACTGCAGAAGGGTGAATTAATTGAGGGTCTCTCATGATTTTTGCTTTACATTGTAATAAGCTAAGTGCTTGCTTCTCTTCTATATAGAGATGTGTGTGTGTGTTTTGAAATTCTATGTTTGAGATTTTTTTTTCTCCCTCTTTTTGATGTCTTTTGTTTTGTTTTTGTTTTTTGAGGTTCCCAAGCTATGATAATGTCAGAATAACATGCACCGATAAAAGCACGTGTTTTTTCGTGACCCAGATCTATTATAATATGATTTTTTTTTATTTTATTGCAATAGTAAATCACTTACCTTGTATTGATAGACACCCACTTATATTTGGTGGATCTCACCTAAAATTTATGACAGTTTGGCCTATGATTGTCAAAAATTAGGTCAAAGTATACAAGACATGATCAAAATATGTGAATTTGGTTGGACATCTAAATATTCTTTGAAAATCCTAAAGAAACCATACTTTACATCCAACATATGTTTGTTTACATTTTCTTTTCCTTCGTGCGTCGCTGATACAGAGAATGCCTAATACTCAACAATTTTATCTTCAATGACCACAACAATTCTAGCTGATGGTTAAATTGGGATAATTTAGAGAAATATGAGTTGGTTGGAATCCCCATTTTATAGTAAAGAGGCCATTTTCCCCTTTTTTTTGGGCTAAATGAACAAACAAGGTTTTTGTTTAGTGAAATTTTATATTGGCCCATAATACATGATCCCCCAGGCCACAAGTGTCCTCAAAGCCCACTGGGCATTGAACCAAATGAATTTTTTTGGGGGCCCACTACTGGGCAATTTTAAGGCTGAAAAGTAGAAAACCTGCCCATCAATACATTTGAATTTAAAAACAAAAATAAAGAAGAAATTATGTAAACAAAGGGATTTTTATTAGTAAACAAAGGGTTCTTATTAGTAAAAATGGTACTTGGAAATTGGAACAAGCATGATGTAATTGCTATACTTATTTGTCTTTTGAATTGTTCTACTGAATCAGTCGATCATCAAAAACTTTGGTCATTACTCAAACCATGACGTTGGTGGTTGTGGTGGTGAGTGCATTAAATATAGGAAGTGTATTAGAATCAAATTTGGCAGTGTTGACCTAGTGAATTAACTACTGAACAAGAAGAATCAATAATAAGATCGAGGCCTGCACAAAGATATATAGACAGAAACTACTCCAGATAAGTCCTTAAACCTAATAAGTACAAACTGAGTACACTACTATAGTAAGTGGTTATGTGTAGTTAGATGCTTCACTCACCACATGGGTCAGCTTGCAATATTAAAAGGTGAATTATAGAATTTTAACGGATTAAAATCCTCTAATTTAATTTTATATTGTATTTGGTTGCAAAAAAGATATTATATATTATTATATACAGCCTTATTTTAAATACATATATGAATAATACACTATATCCGCACTATTGAGCAGATATTAAATTATTAATTTACTATTTTTTCTACCAAACAAACAAAAATATAAATAGCTAGACTACATTAATGATTTTTTAATCAATATGTAATTAGTATATACTTTATTATCTCACTCTTAATTCAGTGTCTTATCAAACACTGAATTATAATGGATAATATTTTTATCTCGTATTTAATCTTATATTTTATCCGCTTATATGGTATTAGTTCATATTAGTCAATACAATTCATTGTCCAACAATACGGTAACAAAACGAACCCGTGTATCAACTACCTCCCACATAGAGCTAAAAGGCTTCTATTCTGACCGATTATAATTTAGTTCTTCCTACTTAAATGAAATATTTAGTTTTCCTTTGTTAAAAAAAAAAACCTACGTATCTAATAAGCTAGGGTTCTCTTTTGAAAAATCTTGAATATAGATATTAAGTGTAACGGTGACACTACGTCACCACACAATAATAAATGTGAATAAAGTAAACCCTAATTTTTTACATATGGTGATTATGTAATAATGGTAATCTAAAGTTACCGTTTATATTAAATATTTTCTTGGAATCTTGATCACGATGGATATGGTTGGAATTTTTTTTTTTTGAACGAAATATGCTAGGTTTCTCTCACTACAGTTGGTATGCTCTTTCCAAAAAAAAAACAAAGCATTAAAAATCATCGACAGCTCGTTTTGAGTCATTTGGACTATTGAATAGGATGAATTCCCTTGAGAATTTCTCCAATTGCAAATAGTGACCATAACTGTTTTTTTTTATGCAAAAACCATTCTTTATTTTTGTGGAGAATCTCTTCATGACACATGGCCTTCAAGCCATTCTCAAATGTTGAATAAATTTACAATGATGAACATGCTGGCACCAAGGCTCGAACTGGATTTTTCTACTTAAACCAACCTCGGAGAAACATTTTAGTATTACTTGAAAACCTACTAAACACTTCTTTAATTTTCTTACCTGACATCCGAATCCACAGAAGTTGTCAACCCCCACATAAATGGCAAAGTAGTCAAGAAACCCTAAAAAAATATTCTTCTAATTTGCAAGGTCATGTGTCTATGGATTTTTAAATTGAGTATAGGAAGTCCTCAAGCATCATTCCCCAGGTGCATTTCACATTCAAGCTGTCATCTTACTTGCCAAAGAGGTATTCCTCGTTTGACCTTAAACTGGTGTACCTCATGGTACAGGCATATGCTCGCAATGTTAAAGATAAAAGGGAAAAAAGCTCCACCCATGCACAAAACTCCGACCATTATAGAATTTTGGGAGGATCAGATCTATGTAATTTTCTCTTCAAATACAGAAAGATTGTTTCCATGTTATTAGCGTTGAAGATGTGAACTGAAATTGTCTACTACTTATCTGGTGCAATAAGTCCTTATTAATTAGAGCTGCAGTTCAGTAAATAAGGAAAATGTACCGAGCTGACATAGAGGTGAAATCATATCAACTCCATGATATCAGTGCTGATAGAGGGCCATATCATTTCGAGTTTGTATCATAATTAACTCGTGTCATTTCAAAATGTATTAAATTCATACTCAATTCATTTGTTTTTGTGTACATATCGCATGAGTCACCTATATTCGGGTTCATGTCAAACCCTCAATTAAACGTGTCAAGCTATGACCCAAACTTGTTGATATTAAATGCACACCCACTAAAAATTGTCCTACAAATATCAAATATAAGAGCTATGAAATTCCGGGATATGATAGTTTAGAATTCATCACAATGTTAACAAGAACTTGAGTGTGATCTAAGATTGATCAGTACATAACTTAGACCTAGGAGCTCTAGTCATGTGTTTTGGCATTGATAAGCTCAATACCAACTTAAATTGTATGAACTTGTATTAAATGATAAAAATCAAGTTGGCCTATATAGTTATATTTTCTTGAAATGCTTTTAAAATTGTCTGAACATGTTCAATGCAGTTTCCAATATATCTTGTTGCATAAAGGTGGCCAAAGATGAGATTTTGGGGGTGGAAGAATTATAGATTAGGATTCTTTGAAGTATTTTTATGAGGCATATCAGTACTGAGAACTTGTATCATGCCGCTATTTGAAGCAACCATGACCCTAGACCAAATTCCATCACATCTTTATGGCTTCGAGAGAATTGAATGAAAAAGACACTGAACATATATACATATATAATATATATGTAGAGAGAAAGAGAGAGAGAGATTGAAAGGCATATACATGGGTGATGGAAAAGGAAAAGAAGTTGCCCATAAGCTTCTTCATATAATTATTGGTTCCTTTCTCCCTTATGTTACTTAGTTGAAACCCTACAGGCTAAGGAAACCCCCCCACCCAAAAAAAAATAGCTGGCAGGACTGTCGACCACAACACTACATACTCTACCACATAAAACCTAGCTTTGCAAAGTAGCAAGATAGCTTTATGTGTAGTGTCTACATTTCATATCAATACCCTTTCAACAATCAAAGTTTCACAAGCTCCATTATTGCCATTGTGATTAAACCCTTTGATAATTCCTTACGGTATAGGAACTAGTTTACAATGCTCTCTCTCTTATATTGAAGAAGTAAACAAATAAAATTTCTCTTGAACGGAATGATATGAATCTCCGCTTATTCCCAAGACTTATTGCAGCCTCTAAAATCAGCAAATATGATTATTAGTAGTAAATAAGGTCAAAAAGAAAAGAGGGTGGTCCCTCTTCTTTTCATCATATATTAAAGGGGCAAGGGGGCACGACTCTGTATGAGACTCTTACTGCAGAACAAGTGAAAAAAAACTTAAGGGTGTGTGAGGGGCAGTGATCTCTACAATTTTTTATCAACTTATTTCAAATGTTTTTAAGCTGTTTTTCTGTTCAAAGGAAGTAGANATTTTTAAGCCGTTTTTCAGTTCAAAGGAAGTAGAAGACAAGCTACAAAACAAATATAAGGGAGGATACTCATTATTCAATAAAAGATTCCAAACAAAATCCATAAAAGTGACTCTACAAAAACTACACGTGTTAGCTGAATAAAAATAAAACTACCAAGAAAAGTGCTTTGAACGTTCAATTACAAAGAGTAGTAGTGTAACTGTGTAATATAAAAGAAAGAAAAATGCTTCTGGTTGAATCATTCCTAAATGACCAAACTTTCAGAAGTTTATAACCTACATGAGGAGGATCAAAACCATACCTTTTGTTTCCCCCATTTTTCAACAACATTCACCTACTTATCGGGCACAGGCAAACGTGTAGAACAGTCTATAGTCAACCAGCTCCTACACGTGCAATGAACCCACGTGTCAACTCATTCCCAACATCACCAGAGACCTTGCCAGATATTCATCGGCACCGGAAATTCCAATTCCGGCCGTTAATGACCTTCACAATGCCACAGTAGAGAGAGATTTCTAAATTTGACCCAATTTTAAGTTTAACCCAAATTTTCTAGCCTTTTAGTAAGGAAATCCTTAAAAGAGTGGTGCAACAGAAATTAGTATGGACTAATAAAGGAACTGAAAGATACAGATTGGATATATAGCTAAAGGGATGTATTGGTAATTAAAACAGATTACCATAATCCAAGTTATAATGGTAGCAAGAATTTCACTAATGGCATATGTTATTCCTCCGGGGTCATGAATAAATGAGATTACAGTCTACAAATTAACCAAAGTAGGAGACATTTGCATTCGAAAAGGTACTAAAATCGGTTGCAGTGGTTGGTGGGGTGTACATAGAAGAGGAAGAAGAAACAGGAGGAAGTGAAGGAGGAGGTGGTGGAGGCACTGGGGATGGTGGCAGTGGTGGTGCAGCAATTGAAATGGCCCCAGAAGAAAGCAAAGCTACATGAGAAGAAGGAAGGACATTGGTTTGTCTATACTTGTAATTCAGTATCTCTGTCCTTACTGCATTAAGTTCAGCTTGTAAAGATTGAACTTGTTGCTGCAAAGCCGAAATTGCACCCATGCACCCATAAACCGGATCTCTCAGCCTTACATTCGCCTCATAAACCAGACTGTTTGCAGCATCTGCTCTTTGACTCTCCGGAACCTCCTGGATTAATACCATAAACGCTTATCAACTGAGGCCTCATTGACAATAAGTAGACAACTAACAAATAACCAAGAGGGTAGTTTTTTCGCGTCGCAAGAGTATTTTCTTCTAGACCAGATAATTTACTCATTGATTTTTATTTTTTTATTTTTAGTATACCTCAATAACCATGGGGCATATTATTCAAATTTGGAAGAAATAAAGCTATTTTACCGATCAAAAAAAAATATATAAAACTGAGTTACATGAATGATAATCTTTGTCAAAAGGAACTAGGGTTTACCATCAGCATCTTTGAAACATTACTTGCACCGAAGACTTTGTGAACAGAAGCAAACTTTTGGGGTTCATGGGGTGAGAAATATGGAGAAAAGGGGCATTCTTGTGCACACCGTCGTCTCAGCAGCTTACAGGCGGCGCAAGGTGTAATTGTGTTTAGGGTTCCGGGAGGCCCCAACATATGTCTCCTTCCCATTTGAGAAGAGGCATCGGATTCTCTCTTGATCTTCTTGCCTATCTCATACTCAATTCTCTCCCTGTGACCAATCAGCATAATACCAAGGAAATTAAGAACTTGCAATTCTGATAGATTTTCCCAAAAAAAATCAATATATATATGAAGCAATTAGGTTTCTTAATTAGTATATCTCACATTAACCATACTGTCTGTCAAAATTGTACTTCCAATATGAAAGCACTAGTACAGAACAAATAGAAGACAGTAGTATTTTCTTTTCTTTTTTCCTGGTGTAAGGTTATCAAATTTTGAACTTGATAGTGTGCTAGAGAGAGAGAGGGAGAGAAAGGGGTCTGCCGGTTACCTTTCTCTGGACATTCGGGCATGCTTTCTGTATNGTTCTTAATTAGTATATCTCACATTAACCATACTGTGTGTCAAAATTGTACTTCCAATGTGAAAGCAATAGTACAGAACAAATAGAAGACAGTAGTATTTTCTTTTCTTTTTTCCTGGTGTAAGGTTATCAAATTTTGAACTTGATAGTGTGCTAGAGAGAGAGAGGGAGAGAAAGGGGTCTGCCGGTTACCTTTCTCTGGACATTCGGGCATGCTTTCTGTATATGAAACTGATGTGTGATTTTTTTTTTTGAGCGTGTGTGAGAGAGAGAGGGAGAGAGAGAGAGAGGAGGGCTAAAAGGGAAGCAGAAAGAAGTAACTGGGGGAGAAAAGAGTGCTTAAAAGGCAAGATATAGAGAAAAAGGAGGTGGTTCAGTGTGTAATATGGAAACAGAAAAGAGAAATACAAGTAAGGTCTTNTTTGAGCGTGTGAGAGAGAGAGAGGAGGGCTAAAAGGGAAGCAGAAAGAAGTAACTGGGGGAGAAAAGNGAGCGTGTGTGAGAGAGAGAGGGAGAGAGAGAGAGAGGAGGGCTAAAAGGGAAGCAGAAAGAAGTAACTGGGGGAGAAAAGAGTGCTTAAAANGTTTTATCAGCCATCACTCATTCCCTCTAAAATAAATGAACTTGATTTGTTGCTTAATCGATCATTGTCATTGATTTAACTGTGAGTTATAGTAGTTAAATCCACTACTTGTTTAATAATTGTAATTGATCAAGTAAATATTTTAAGTNAGAGTGCTTAAAAGGCAAGATATAGAGAAAAAGGAGGTGGTTCAGTGTGTAATATGGAAACAGAAAAGAGAAATACAAGTAAGGTCTTGGAATGAGAAGGTGATTTCCTTAATTAGTTTATTTGCTGTTGAACATGTTGTGATGTACGAGGATTCCATTAGAGTATAGTCTGCAGAGAACTCAGAGCTAGATAGACGGTGATCATGGTGTGCCTCAATAATTTTGGAGAGAGAGAGCTTGGTTCCTCTACAAATGCCAGCTCTGTCACGTATTGCTCACGTGTGATTCCTTACTAACTGTTGACTTTTGGAGGCACCCTCTTGGCTTGAATTAATGCTAGCTCTCAATGCCTTGAATATTTTGCTGCATGTGTTCTTTGCTTCTTTCTGATCAGGAGAGACCTTAATGCAATCTCTCAAAATATATGGAGGAGTTACTTAAATGAACCTCAATCATACTATTAATGGTTTGCTCATAAAAACTTATTTGATCATGAATTGTACCTGGTAAGGCTATAGGAATGTTAGTTTCTTGTCAATATCAATAACCACTTTTATTAAAACGACATTTTGTGGGAATCTAACTCGAAATTAATTACATTTTGCACTATCAACTTCACCTTCTAGCAACAGCTATCAATTCTTTGAAAAAAAGGCTAAGATCAGATGCGAGCCTCGTGGCTGTGTTTGCTGTTTTTTTCAGTTAGAAGTGGTAGAGACGCCTGATACCGTAGATTTTGAGAATAATCAGATATTACAAATTTTGAGAATAACTAAATACCGTTTTATGACGACATTCAAAACAATCCAAAAAAGGGCACGCTCACGACTATGCTCTCAAAGAGAAAGATTACTCAACACAAAAATACCTATATTCCAAAAATTTCTCTTAAACCCAGAAAGAAAAAAGAAGTAAACGACAATAAATATTATTTTTTTACATCTCTTCATATGTAATTTAGGGTTAATAGCATTTGAGGTTCTTAAAGTATGTATTTTTTTGTCAGTTTTGTTTTTATGGTATTAATTTTGTTAAGNAAATAAAGGAACTGAAAGATACAGATTGGATATATAGCTAAAGGGATGTATGGGTAATTAAAACAGATTACCATAATCCAAGTTATAATGGTAGCAAGAATTTCACTAANGAGTATTCAATTCGTGTCATTTTGGTCCTTCAATAAATGGACTATTAAGTTTGTGACGAAATGATCGCGTGTTGGACACGTGATATCGTCTATAAAAATGATACATAATCACTTCCGTCAAAAAACTTGACAGATTGTCTAATTAAAAACTAAACTGACACAGATTGAATACTTTAGGGACTGAATTGATAAAATTGATATAACGAGGACTAAACTAACAAAAATTACCTACTTCAAGGTCAAAAATGCTATTAACCTTATAATTATTTATCAGACATGGACTACCATTGAAAAATGGTACATCAAGCTTAAGCTGCAATACATTTCTTTTTCCATGGGCAGGCAGGGAACATGAATTAAAACTCACTATTGTCTTTTTTTACTGTAGTGTTTCATTCTTCTGGGTCAATCTCCATTGTTAATGCGCTTTCATGAATTGTCTGGTGACTTATGGCTGTTCTCTTTGCTTGTGTTATTACTAAAGCAAGTGAGCTCAGCTTTCAGTGCACTTAAATGAGATTTAATTATGGACATAATTACACTAAAATTGTCTGCAAAAGTAACAGAAAATGATGGAGCAACCTTCAAGATAAATTCATCAGCTTCTATAGTTGATAATTGATAGTTGAGAATAGTGACTGACTATAACNGACTCTCTCTGTCGTTTCAGCTCACAAACGAGGAAGAACAGTGAGATTTTTCTGGCCGACGAGCTTTGAGAGATGCGAAGAGCTTTCAGATTCAAGTGTATAGCTTAAATCTCGGTAGAATTTTCGATAAAAATGTCTTGCCTTTACATCACTTCAGTCTCATCATCCTCTGCGGTTTCCATTTCCCGCAAATCAATACCCTTCACTGGTGCCCGTTCAGTCTCTTCAAGGCCCAGAGTCTATTGCGCTCTTGGTGGTAAGTTTTCTTTCTTTTGTTTATGCAAAACGTTTCAACTTAGGTATTGACTAAACCAATTGAAACGTTTCGCATGGTCTAATTGATGTCTAAATGGATAATTGCGTTACCGTATATGTGATGATTTTACTGAAATATATGTTATTTTGCTGTTGAATGTTACTTTGGGCAGTTTTCAATTATTTTTTGAGCTCTGTTTGCCCGAATAGAATTGAGGTATTGTGATTTCGAGGAAAAATACGTCAAATTAGGAACTAATTGTTCCCCAAATCACATTTCTGAGGGTCAAATTCGATGCTTTCAACCACAACTTTATATACATCTTTGTGTTCCTGTGTTAAGCTTGAGACTTTGGTTGGATAGATAGGATAAAATGGACTTTGATCAGGTACAGTATGTTGAGCATGTCAAACAACGGATTTATGGCAAAATATAGAAACAGTTGCATTATATACAAAAGGAACAATGCCTGTATATCAATTCAATTAATTGTGTACGGAGTCATATTCTTTTGATTTTACATAACTTTATGGATGATGAAAAAAAAAGAGAGTGATAACATGGGTTATTATCTATGAAACACGGATACTTCGGTGAGATCGTTGTTCTCATATCGGATACGATATTCATCGGATACTTGAGAATATGTATCAGATACTCCTCTTACGTATCCATGAATATTGTGTTGAAATGAGTATTTTGTATGTTTTATCTAGTATTACAAGTCAAAAAAGAATAAAATAAATCTATTACATTATAATCTTAGCTATAAATTCTTCTAAATAAGACAACTAAGTAAATATTACTTTTGATTCATTTAATTAGTCACTTCATTTTTGTGAAAATACCATAATGATATGTTATATACTTTTTTTTTCTATAAAAAAATTGCAAATTTTCCTTATTATGTTAAAGAATTACCAAAATATATAATTATTAAGTCGGTACATAATAGTAAAAATATAAAATATATTTTATTATAGACGTACCCGTACTGTATCTATATCCTACTTTTTTAGATTTTGTCATATCTATATTGTATCGTATCCGTATCTCATATCCGTATCCGTGCTTTATAGGTCGTTATTCGGTGTTATTATGCATTGTCTATCTTCTGTTTCAGTTTCTCCGCAAAATAAGCATAGCAGCGAAAGTTAGAGAGTAAACAGCCAATCATCGACATATAATTGTTACAGTAACAGTTTTCATACAAAATTGACCCATACACTAATGTTGCATTTGGAAACATGGAATTTGTGCCTTGGAATTGAGATTGAAGATTGGATATGTTGGTATTTTGATTATTCCTCCAAATGCAATTGTTACAGTTACAGGTGTTGTTGGTTCATTAAATCACAATGCGAGCTTTTCTCTTTCCTTTGGGTGTTTACAAATTTCTCAGATCGTCATGTGAGATAGATTGTAACGCTCTCATTCTCTTATTCTTACATTTGTATTGGATTTTTACTTCATTTGCACCCCCTTGATGGGTAAGCTTTTTATTTCTGTGATCTATGATGAGTAAGCTTAATATGGGAATATTTTGCATCTCTCTTTCGGGTTTATTTTCCAGGGACTGTTGCAGAACCAAAACTTATCACTGCAACTGAACCATTGCTCCTTAATGCTGTTCGTGGGGAAGAAGTGGAAAGACCCCCTGTTTGGCTAATGAGACAAGCTGGGAGGTACATGAAGGCAGGTTTATTTGGCTACAGTTTTGAAATGGGTTTCTAAAATTTAGTTTTACGTTTATTCATCAACTGTCTTGGGTAATTTCACCAATGCCTCATGTTTTCTAAATTTCGTTTGAAACTTCATTTAGGATGAAGGGATATGAAATGCGATGTCTAGTTTTCTGCTTTAGCTGGTCAAATAGATTTTCTGTCTCTTTTATGTGCATAATATGTCTTTGCA